CACCCTGCCTAATGGTAGGGCCAGGTTTGCATAGCCACTAAAATGCAAGGGCATTTTCTTATAATGCATTATAAATATCTAATCTTCTAGAAACTTTCCACCTCCTGAAGGTCTGCCAGAGTTCAAGCCTGACCATCTATCAGAGCTAATATAAGAAGATTTTTTAAAATTGAAGCTGTCATTTCATGGCTTGGAGTAAGTGCAAGCTTATTTTAGCTGCTTGTTTATCTCGAACTTTCTTTGAAAAATGTTTAACATGCCCTGCGTTGAAGAGCTACAGGAGCAGATTAATGTTACCAAGAGCATATTTAGGTATCTTCTACAGGGGTAGCCACATGCGTTGTTCTATTCATGCATCTTCCCTGTATACACAGAAAATGGGAAAAAAGGATGAAGGTTTGGGTCCATTTTTGTTTTAATTGGATTATTATCCAAAAAAATGCTTCCACCAACACCTCATTATCTGAAATGCATTTTAGAGCTGCATCTTCAGGCATATTCATCTGTGTGGCTTCCTTTTTACCCCCAAACTGCTCCTTTCTTCTTAGCTTGCTGTGTTGCATCTCTTCAAACCATTTTCTCTCCAGCCCAACCCTCACTTCAGCTATCGGACTGGAAGAAAATGGCTTGAAACAGTGGAGGAATGGAAGGACTTCTAGGAAAGGGTGTGTGTGCTTTGGATCCCCCACCCACATACTTCTAGGCTTATATGCTATACCAACTTTCTTGAGCATAAGCCCCATTGACCTCTATGGGACTTAGGACTCCGCTGCTAATTGCATGAAGAATAGATCCCAGCCTCATTGATTTCCCATGTGAATGGGACAGGGCGGATTTGAATAATTACATGTGGCTGCCCCTTCACATCGGTCCACATGTTTGTGCACCTCTTAATGGTTATCAATTGAATTATTAATCACATCTATTGGTAAGTACTGTAGATTTCAGTTGCAAAAGAACAGTACACTGACAAAACAACAAAAGAAAAAGGGAGAATACAACTTAATGCTTGGGGATGAGAAACAGAGGAATGCAATTTTTCCAATCTATTTAAGAGGACTATTCAAACCAGCAACTACAGGGCTGGGATTTACAAAAAAGTAGACCATAGACACTCGTATGTGTCTGCGTTGCTTTCTTATCAATGCAGGGTGAGTTTGAACAAATATAGGGAATGCACTATCCAAATCGTGTGGACAGTGAAGATTTTTCTTTCCAGCACTAGACTATCAGGGGCAATATCTACACCAAGTAGCCTATAATAGTTAGTCTGGAGGAATGCTCCAAATAATTTCAGGTTCACATATTCACCATCACTGTACTCTTTCCAGTAGAGCGTCCTGGAAGGGCGTCCATGCCAGGGCCTATGAATGTTCTGTCTTTTGCATATGATCTGCAGTGCGTCATTCATGCAAGCAGGTTATCACTTGATGTTCCGCATCACTGTCTTGGGGAAGGCACTTGTCCTGGTCCCACCACCATTGGAGAATGTTTGGTGTGGTTATGAGAGGGGGCCTTGGTGGCCACTCCCGGGCTCTGCAACTCTCTGTGAATGAGGCCAGGTTGGCTCCCTCGGTATTGTCCTTCTGCTCCTAGGAAAATGTATTTTATGTAGGCACACCTTGGCATGTAACTAATTTGTTGCTGAAACATTTTTCAAGTGATTAGGTACTGCTTATTTCTTTCATTGCTGTGTTTTTAATTCAGCTGCTTTTATGTTTCTGCATTTTATCTGAACTCAAACACTGTTGGCCGCTTTTGCAATTTTTAGAGGGCACTAAAGCGGTTATTTAGAACAGGTTGCCTTCATCCATATGGACCACCTCAGCCTTTATGTTCTAAAGAGGAGGCCTTGTTTACTGTATCTACTAGTCTTCACTTGGTCATGGTGCAGAGGTGGGCATTTTGTGCTGTGGACCCATCCTCTGTGGAGATGAAGGAAGCTCCAGTGTCAGGTGTTTCTGCTGAAAATGGAAGCTACGTTGATTTGTCTACAACTCAGAGGTTTCCAAGGATCCAGTGCAAGAGGAGCCATGGAAGCAGTGATTCCTGCTGCCACTCAGCCTCAGATCATAGATCGTAACTAGCTGCCTGTGTCTGGTCACCTAGATTTAGGGTCAGTGAGAGGGAGGTATGCAGATTGAAATGGATGCAAATTGGTGGTCTTTTCCTCTCCCACACTGCCCAGCATGACCCTTTTGAGGCCCAGTTACAATTTCAGGGGCTGCGGCAGCTCATGCTGTTCCTTCCCCATCACTGTTGGGATTCTGCAGGATTGTGCCCTTAATGAGATATTTTATTCTTTTGTTACTATTTTATTGATTGGTCTGATTGCCTTTGCTCATTATTTTATTTTTGTGAACCACTTTGGGGTTCAGATGGAACTCTATAACTAATTGTGTGTGTATGTGTGTGTGTGCGCGCGTGCACACGCACATATGCGCACGGCATGCACTTGTCTGAAATAAATACCCTTTTGCATCTGGCTTGAGCTACAAAGTAGAACAGCAAAACGCTAAGCAGGGAAGTGCCCCATTGACAAATATATCTAATTACAGAGTGAAATTCGCATGCCTCCAGTCTCCACAATGAAAGTGCAAGCTGTAAACTGTTGCAAGCCTGGGCCTGGTTGGGATGCATTCAGACAGCTGGTCGTTTCCAGGAAGAGCTGAAGGGGGTAAGGTGCACCAACGTGATCTAAATCTATCGGTTCCATGCAGAGGGGATTAACATCTGCTAAAAGTATTATGAACATCATGCAGGTGTTTCAATATTAGTATTTAGTATGTGGTGCAGCAGCAGTCTCTGAGAAAGCATTCATGCTGCAATCTGGTCATTTTATTGTCTGAATCTGTCAGGACAGTCATTTGGTTACCCCAATTTTGTGATCCCCTTGCAAGTTGTAAACTGTTTAATGAAGTGAGTACATTGAGAAAGATGACAGACCTTCTAGCTTTTGGAAGAGGGTATTTCATCTGAGACATTCATTTTTACTCTTGGGAGACTTTCTTAATGTGCACACAACCAAAAGGTTGAATTAGAATGAATGTTTCCAGAATTCCAGTAAATTCCTGTGGGCAGGTCTATATTTGACATACCTTTCATGATGTCAATAAACAAGACACTTTGGTTCCAATATTAGCAAGATAGAAACAAATGCCTTTGTGAATTACGAAACCAAAGTGAAATTAGAGTAGACTTTGAAGAGTCTTGCTCCTAGAGTCTGTCAAGCATTTATTGCCCTCTGAGAAAACATGCCCCTTGTATAACTTGCAAACCAAGCTTTTTCACAGTGCTTTGTTTAGAAAAGGAGAAAGATAGGCTTGGTGTTATTTATGTGGTAGAAAAATACTCTGTGCATGTTTAGAGGTATCAGCCTTCTTTTGATATTCATGTAAGTACAATGTGAGGAAGAAATGATGTTTGTGTATGTATGTATTATATTTATACTCTGCCTTTTTCCTTTCAAGGAACTCAAGGCAGCTCACATAATTCTTCTCCTCTGAATCTTATCTTTACAAAAACACCCCTGTGAGGTAGGTTGAGCTGAGAGTCTGTGACTGGCCCAAAGTCACCCAGTGAGCTCCATGGCTGAGTGGGGACTAGAACCCAAATCTCCTGAGTCCCAGTCGTGTACTCTTTACCACTACACCACACCGACACTAAGTATTCAATATTGTTTATATAGAGCCAATCCTTCCTAACTCAGCCTTATTCCAGGTGTGCTGAAGTCAAATTCCTTTAGGATATGTACTGGGCCTATGGAGGTTTGTAGGTTATGGGAGACTGGCCTCTGTATATACACTTAGATGTACAGAAGCTCTAACCCAATGCCTCGGAAAATGAATTGTCCCATTGCATATACACATAGGGCACTACGCATGTTCAGAGGAACATGTGTGTAATGGCACATCAGCAAACACAACCCCAATCGTACCTTCCCGTGCATTCATGTGTACCATGGCTTTTTTTTTGCTCTTGTGTTCCAAGACTAGATCCTGACATTCAACGCAGGTTTCAAGGCTAAACCTGAAGAACTGGTTCATATTAGGTCTTAGCTGTTTCCCTAACTGAAAAGTACTGCCTTGTTTACCAAGTTCTACCACACTGAGAGTGTTACTATCAGATAAAAAGCAAAAGAAGTCTTGTTGGTCCAAAAGAAAAATGTCCAAATGCATAGTTGAGCAATATTTTCATCAGTTAGAGCCAAGAAAAATGCCATTCAATAGTGAGCAAGTTTTCATGTTCTTTTAGAAACGTTTACATTGTTTTGCAATTGATCCTCAATATAGATAATTTAATTGATTTCTGAGTTTTGAGATTAAACCCAAGTGGACAGGTGTTCTCTCTTGTTTATGAATGTTCACATCCATTATTTTAGGGTTAAAATAAAGCCAAGATTGTCCACAGTTCTATTTCAAAATCATTATGGCACAAATTAACTTCAGGCATAGGATCTTTACCATGTATTCTTAAGTTTAAAAATGCTTGTGTAGTTTCAAAGTCTTAACAACAGTCTTAAAATTGGAACTGCAGCTGCTTCATCATACCTTTAAACCCTGTCTTCAGAAATGTGCACAGAATTAACAGATGTGTGCTTTAAACTTCACATAAACATTTGTGTAGGAATTTTAAGAAAACAATTTTTGGGGTACTGCACTGGCACCTGAGTTACATGGGGCAAGGGGTGGAATACTGCAGGAATGGCTGCTCCCATAAAATGACAGCTGTATGGCTCTCTGTTCAAGTGACATTTCTTGAAGTTATCATGGGAATCAGACCTTAGCAATGAGAATTGCCATTGATGGGGAGCAAACAGTCGATCTCTCTCTCTCTCTCTCTCTCTCTCTCTCTCTCTCTCTCTCTCTCTCTCTCTCTCTCTCTCTCTCTCCATAAAGAGCTAAGAGACAAGACATGCTTTGTATTTTTGGCAGGATGAAGGGAAGGGAGATTGTGGCAGAGACAAGTGAAGTAGCTGGAAAACTATAGACTGACAGTCCAAACTAACCATGTACTAGGCTATAGGATTAATTTGAATAAAGACTCCCAGAAATTATTTGAAAATTATGCACTCCCAGATATATAGTTTTTTATTCTGCCAATAGGAGTGTCTTCACATGAGACAGAAGATTTACCAAAGCTACTTCTCCTGTTTGCAAGGGGATTAAAGCATGCTTCACACTAGTGTGTGCTCCCCTGCTAGGTAGAAATGTGTGTGTGTGTGTGTTTCTGTGTGTGTCCCTCTCTACTTTTCCATACGCACCATTACACAGCACAAGGTGGTGCTGTGGTATAGAGTGGGATTGTGAAACTGCACTAGGCTTCTCTAGAGATAATGGTGCCATGGAAGGAAAGGAACAGTCTTTCCTTGCTTTTTTAAAAAATGTTGTAAAAATGCTTGGAAAACTCAGGAGAAGACCTAGAGGAGGAGGAGGAGACCATGAAAAGGTCCTGAAAATTTCTGTGAATGAGAGATCATGAGCGTACATTAAAGCTCCAGCTTTAGCACTGTGGTGTCGTTCATGCAAAATGACAATTCTATGAACGATTACTTCCAAAGTCATATTAAAATACTTTACAATGTGTACGTATTGTTTTAGCAGCCATCTGATGAACAAGAGGCAAATGCCTGCAAAATCTTATGCTTTATTTAGACCTTCTGAATAAGTAACATCTGTTCCGGCTGATGGAAAATATCCTTTTGGTCACCGAGGGATCGCAGTCATGTTACCCCTGGAAAGGTCTGTGTGAATCAACAGTCAGATAGACTCATCACTCTGCACCTAATAGATATATACCAAAATGAAGCCAAGGCATTCCTGTCCAAAGTGGGAGGTAACAACATGCTCTCCCGTGGATGACAGAATCAGACAGCTTGGGAAAAAGAGTAAGAGAAAGAAAAGCAAAGCTTCTATAGTTTCTTGCTGTTGGGAATGCCTGCCTGCCACCACCCAATCCAGATGTAAGCACTGTTTATCATTAGTTCAAATGTGATCATTGCTTTCTTATATATTACAGCTTTACAAATGATGAGTAAAACAGAAGGCTTATCCAAAATGTGTTGGATAGTTTTAGGCACTTCCCGCTTAGCTTTAAAACAGAGCTGGATTTATTTAGTAGATGCATCACTGGATGAGCTTTTAATCTGAAGCATCAGTAGCTTCCATAAAAAAGAACAGATGGGAAGCTTCACTCTTAATGTTCAGGATTGTTTGTTTTTATTCTTCACTTAAGTGTCAGGATTGGCCAAAAGCAGAGGGAGAAAAGGATGGGGCCATTGCAACAGAATAGGATAATAAAGAGATCCTGCCTCTAATACAGGATTTCAGGTTCAGAGAGAAAAGAGTAAACTGAAGTTATAACAGGTAATAGCAAGGATTTGATTATTTAATTTTTGCCACTCCACTGCATTTGCTTTGCTGGCACCTTCCTCCTCCTCTGCCTAACAAGCATATTTTTGCAACAGGCCACCCGTCATCATTCAATAGCGCTCAGGTGATGCATGACATAAAATCCCATGCAGCAAATATTAATAGCACAATCCTATGGCCTTCCACCATCATCATCATTGGAGTCCAAGCTACTTTCCCCTCTCTCACAGCTGGCTGTCCCCCATGAGACACAGCTGGACCTCCAAGGGGAAAAGGAGGCATGCTGGGGGTAAGGTGGGCTGGGCAGGGCCATTGTATTTCTATCCAGAGGGCCATGTAAATAAAATGCAGGGTACAGAGACATGGCAGCATAGCATTGGGTGCTCATAAGCCCCCCTTTCATCTGCTGCAGGGGCAACAGTAAAAGTATCAGCTTCTATGTGCCTTCCATGTGCTTGAGTAGTATTGCAACATTCCAATGAACACCTGAAAAGGTCTACTCAGCAGGTGGGATAGGTAGAAGGATTTATAAGGTCTTATAGCACTGGCAGGATGTGGAGGATAGAAAAGCCTCAGCTTTGGTCATTCCTTATTCATGATTGTCTGTGGAGTCTTTGCGTGATGTGGCAATGCTTCAGCTTTGTTTGCGTGTCTAAGCCACATTTTTTTCAAAGCATGGGAAATGCTGCATTTCATTGTGAAAGCAAAAGAAAGCATGCTATTGTGTTTTATTTCGCTATAGCACTCCTAGAGGTTATATAGTAGAAAACCATTAAAGGAAATGCTCTTCATGTAATGCTTGGAACTCAGTTCTGTGACAAACTCGGTTCACTGCTGATTAACAGCTTTGCAAAGAAACACTCATCTGCCAAGAATATTGTCTGCAGCAGCCCACCAGATGTTTAATTCAACTCCCTCTATCCCAGCCAACATGGCTAATGATCAGGAATGCTGGAAAACTGAAGGGTACCAGATTGGGAAAAACCTTTCTATATAAATACCAAGTCATGAACATATGAATTATTATTCCCTGGATCCATAGTCCTCAAAATATGAATTAACGCACCTTTAGGATATAGAAACAGTTAAAGAACCTCTCTACTCCCCAGAGTGGATCAGTGGTAATGCAGTGGTGGAGGATGTGCTTTGTAGGATAACACCCCTGATTCCATCACCAAACTATGGTTGACAGGATATCAGGTGGAGCAGCCGTCAGGGGTTTTCTGTGAAACTCTGAATTGCTGCTGCAAGATAGGAAAGAGCAGGAGAAGGCAATCCAGTGTCTTCAAGATTTTTGGACTACAGCTCCCACAACTGAGCATTGACCATGCTGGCTAGGTCTTATGGGCATGGTAGCCCAAAACATATGAAGGACACCAAGTTACCTATCCCTGGTGTTAACCCTCCTGGGTTTAGTGAAGCATTATTTTGAGAGTATGCAATATTTATTTATTTTATTTAGCAGGTAACTGACAGATGCAAGGAACCTTGCTATATACTTGAATGTTTCCAACCTGAAAGCAAGAGAGGATTGCGTACAGATGATATCATTGCAGAACTTCGGAGCTAGTACTGAAATGCTATCATAGCCTATGGGACAGAAGTTCAATTTTTGTCTCCTTCCATGGCCTTTGGTCAAACCAGCTTTATAGGTTTTTTTGTCATGTTCTTCAACCTAGTGCATTAAACTTCTGGACTTCTTCTTCCTCTCTGAATGAGGAGAATGAGCATCTTCAGCCAAGCAGGTTTTTTCCCCCTGCCCTCCCATAAATCAAAGCAGTGACCATATCATGTACTTAACAGCAAAACCATGTAGAGTATAAGTCTGTCTGAATAAGTATTGTTCTTCCATATTTACCAGTCTATAACAGCAGTAAGACAACAGCTAACTTTACAATGAGAGAGCAATATAAAATTATGCCACTGTCATTTTCTCTATTCTTTTCTCTGTAAATATACTCTGCCAATTTTCTTTTTCTTCCCACATGGCACACATCTGATCAGAACACATAATAATGTGTTTGTTATTACGTGTGAGCTGCTCTGAGCTGTCTCAAGAAAGAAAAGAATAGAAGAAGTAGTTGTAGTCATAATAAAGATAACAGATTTCAACTGTTCTAAGAGCTTCACATACATTATTTTAGAAATCCTGACATGCACTGGATAATGCAAACAGAATGTTGCTAGATCAGGTTTTTACATTTTGATAGCTCAATTATATGGTTGAAATTAAAAGGACATATAAGCATGCTCTATGAAGGATGCAATGTTTCCTAGGAAGAGGACTGTGCATTAGGGTTACTTGTGTGCATGGTGAGGACATTTTCACCTTCCAAGTTTAAAGGGGCTTCAACTGGGCTTATAAAGGCAATCTAAATCTGTATGGTTTATTTGTACCAAAGGCTTCTCCTTTTCTGCCTTTCCTTTTGGAAGAACTTAATGTAAAGATCATCAAAGAAGACTATTATAAGCTTCCATCCTCAACATACTTTCAAGCAAGGCTGGGCAACCCTTTTCTAATAAGGGCTGAATTACTTCAAGATGCTTAAGCAGTACTAAGCCTGGCTGGGGGCAGGAACAAAACCAGTAGTGGATGGAGCCAATGTCAGTGATAGGTAGGATCTTAACCAAAGGTAGGTGGATCACCCCCTTTTGCTTCTCCTTTCTGAAACCTCCCCTTCTCACTACATCTGCAATCTTTTTCTTTCTTGCTTGCTTGTTTCCCATGTAGCAGGCTGCCAAGGAAGGCATAAATTGCTCTTGTTAATGGCATGAACTGATTGCAGGCAAAATGCCTTTGAAATTAGGTTGAAAGCCACATTAGACAGATGGCCACAGGTTGCCCATCCTTGCTTTAAAGTCTTGTAAGGGCAAGTTGATTGCCCTTGCATTATCTCTTTTGTGATACTGTCCTGATAAAATATATCCCATTGTCACATTTTCATGAAGGTTGTTACTGCAATCAAAAAGCAAAACTAAAACTATATAGGTCTTTGCAACTCCCTCCCTCTGTTCCTCAAGGCAAGGTGCTGATCGGTGAACACTAAAAAGTAATATGATAAAAGTCCAAGAAGTGAGCATGTGCTAATGAGATGGGTCTAATAAAAAGGGGATTGTTTAGAGTAGACAGACTGGAGCTCCAACCCAGCTATCAGAGACAGGTTTGACAGAAGGCCATAAAAAGGAATACCCTGTTTAGCTTGAGCGGGCATTAATGTAGCAGCCAGACTTTTTCTAATGATCTATGAATAACAAAGAAAGATTGTCTTCCTGACAGAAGTGAGTTACTGTTACCATTAAAGATGATAGCACAATCGGGAAGCAGAAGTGGCACAGTTCCTCGAAGATGGAATACTCATCCATCCTGCCAACCATTATATTCTCACAGAAATGGGATGGATATGAATTAAAAGCAGACCTAAAGTTAACCTTTCCACACTTCAGACTGACACTTGGACACTATCACGAGTGTGCCAAAAAAGAGGCATGTCCGCCTATATTATATTTCTGGGAGGAAGAGGGAAACGGTGGCTCATGTATGGGGAACATACACACACAAAACAATGTTTTCTGAAATGCTGTTGGCCTTAATCCACCTTCCCTGACTTGGAGCTCTCCAGAGGTGTTGGACTGCCTCAGTCGCAACCTATTCTGCTAGAGGCTTTCCATCCCCTCTGGAGAGCATCCGGCTCCGTAAGGATGATCGTAGGGCTGCTTCAGGATCAGACACACTCTGCTTCTCCCATATGCTTGCTGAGTTTGATCTTAGTGCTATCTAGAAGCTCCCTGAAAAATGTCACGCAGAAACAAAACCTCTGTCTTTATCAGCTTCCTAATACCCTTCTGCTAGTTTCCTTCCTGCACACTTCCTTTGCCTATAATCATATCCTGCGTCCAATCCCTTCTCCCTCAGGAATGCCTGCTGCCAAGCCGGATATCACAGAAGCTACGCACTCCATACTCCCCAATTGTTCAGGGGTCACATGACAGGAGTCTGAGGCTGCCATCCTATATACATTTACATGGGAGTCAGCACTGCTGAACTTAATGGGATTTACTCCTGAGTAAACTCGTACAGCATTGCACTATTACTTTCTCATCCTTGGTGCAGAGTTTTTGAATGGAAAAGTGAAGCTTATCTTACCTGGCTAAGTTTTCTTAATTCCAGAGAGTCAGTAAAGATTGTTAATATCCCCACTTGCAGAGCAAATGCATTTTGCAGAGTTTAATAATATATATTTTAAAGGGAATTAAGCTATCTGTATTTTTCCCCTCAGGGTGTATATCCTCCCTGTCATAAATATAAATGTAGCTACTTAATCCCAGATGACAAAATTTCACATCACTATCTTTTTCTTCTCTTAAAATTTAAGGATTATAGTGTTACCTTAGCCATATTTTGAGTTTAAAAAGATATATAATCAGAACACTCTCCTGTCGATAATACAAAAAGTATGGAATGGAATAGATTTATTTTGAGGGCTTTTCCCTCTTTTTTTTAAAAAAAGAAAAGCAGAGATCTCTGTAAAAAGCCCAGCTTTTAAAAGTTTTATTGTTAAATCAGCCATTGTTTTTGGCCAATAAAATGGAAAATATGTGCTTTTATGGGTTTATAAAAAGGCAAACTATGGTTGCATGAAAAATAACTTTCACCGATTGAGTACAGGTGGAGACTTGTTTAAACTCCTAAGACATAAAGGCTTAGTATGTATGACTGAAAAAGGTAACATGGCACAATAAAAAGTCTTCCTTTCTTCAGTCATCAATCCACCGGGTATTCCATGTCAAATAAACGCTACAACAATTTACAGTAAAAGTACACAGTGGAAGTGCCAACGTTAACACTTCTTAGGTTTGGAGGGCGTCCAGATTTTTCACGCCAATATTTAACACGGACTGAAATGTCTTTTCCATTGGAAGTGTCAGCTGTAACATGCTTTGCTATATTTGGCAACATGTGTATGTGGAGCATAAAGTCCAACGTGTGTGATGTTCATTTTTATTTCAACCATGATAAATGGTAGTTCATTTGTTTAAGTGCACATGGCAGTTTTAGTGTTCCTACTATAAATTTTGGCTAACTTCTATTGACATGCTGTATTAAACTTAAGAAAAACAAATTACACTTCAGCCGTTTTAATTGACTAAATGTGTCAAAAACACAATAAGTATAACATTAGAGGTCAAGGCCTTAGACTATACTATAATGGGTGTTGTGGCAAGTGTCCAGACTTTTTTCCCCTCTTTCTTTTTGGTACATTTCATTTTTCACAAATGTTTAGCACAAGGCAGGCATTTAACATTTCTGAGTGCTTTGAGTCTGAAACTAGAATTCTCTTGTAGTCTATAATCAGCCTATTTGAAGTTTTCATTTCAAAGTGCTAGTCCTGAGTTTTCCTTCTGGCCACCTGTAAACAAACTGTTTAAACAGATACTTTCAATTGGAGGAATGAAATAAAGATTTATGCTACTCAGTGCAATTGAAAACAGAAACCATGTTTAGAAGTCATCTTTCCTTTGCTAAATACATGAGCAACTCCATGGTCCTGAGCCAGAAAAATCTTGGCAGTACTTCATTCCTAAGGGACTTTACTGGAGTCTGTCAGTTTTGACTCATGTCTTTTATATTAAGTGCCTGATAACACACGTCTTCCAGGATTTTTTAACCTGATTTGTATAGATGAACAAGTGAAAACTATTACCACAAAACTGAGATCAGAATAAAAGGCTTTCCAAATAATTCTTTTAGCATTTATATAGCACTTTGGAATGTTTTAAACAGTCCAGAATGGTCCATTCACAACAGTGCTATTAGGTGGTTCAGTATTATTCTCCCAGGTGGGAATCTGAAATGCTGGGCTATTCTACACAAGTTATTTACTGTGCATTCAAGATTCCTCACTTACAGTTAAGGTTTTCTTGGGCACTATTGTGATCCTCTCTTGCCTCTACTGGTTCTCAGAGCATGTTCCCATTTTGTTTTTAGAATGGGGAAAATGGGGAATTATTTCTGAGAGTGCTACTTTTATTTCTGTATTCGAGCTATTCTGCTATAGTAAGCACCGGCTAGAGATTATAGAGAGGAATAATGGGAAAGGAAAAGCTCTTGGTGTCCACTCAGGTCTCAATTTTGTAACAAAACTGAAGTTTGCAACTAATAACTTTGTTTAAAAGATCTTCGATTAATGGTTGAGGCCATTTAGTGACTTCACAAGAAAGGAGAGATTAAACCAGGAGAGGAGAATTACGTGTTCACAGCTCGGTTTCTTAGCTATTGGCTCCACTGACAGTGCAGTTCCCACACATGCCTACTCAGAGACAAGCTTCATTAAGTTCGACAGCACTCGCTCTCAGCTAAGTGTGTTCAGCCTCACTTGCAAATTTCCTTGTTAGAAAGAGAATCTTCTTTATGCTAATGAAAATCATCTGTCTCATGTGAGGAGGTCTGTACCTTCTTGCTCTTAAATAAGAACTGTGTCTTGTATCACATGTGCTGTATGCTACATAAACCCAGATCTTTAAAAGCCTTCATGAAATTGCCAGGAGCCCATTGAAGTTGACGGGCTTCTTGCCATTCAGCTGGATGGAGGCCACAGGATTTCACCTGACACTTTCAAAGTGCTTTGGGGTGTCATGAAGATGCAGTAAGATTTGAGCCAAAACATTGCTCAGTACCACTGAGAAATACGGTTAAAGGGCATGATGAGATAGCTGGTCTTCCCACTGAAACAGGCCTCCAGTACTCAAGCATTTCATGAGAAATGTCAGTGGTGTGGTTAGGAGGTTTCAAGGAATGACTTGTGAAAATCCATTTGCTTCTCCTGAAAGCAAAACCATGTAGGCAGGTTCCACTCCCATTTAAGGTGTTATTTCTGCATTATGGTAAAGCCTGAAAGCAGGGCAGAAGGTATTGTGAACATTAATGGCACTCAAAATAACCTCTGATTGCTACTGATTCTGTTACTGGAAAGATTTTAAATGCTATTTTATAAATCTATAATGAATTCCTTACAGGAAGAAACCTTTAGAGCTCTGGATGCTGCACTGCAGCCTTTCCTGACCTGGTATGGTTCAGAGGTTTTAGCCTTTGACTCTTATCAACACCAGCCCGCATGTTCAGGGATGCTGGAATGCCACATTTTGGCAGGGAAGGCTGCCCTGCTGTTTGCCCCATTTGTGGAAATGATGAAGGCAGTTCTGGATAGGCAGTGGCCCTGTGGGATGAGGTGGGAAGATGAGGCTCCACATCCTGGCGCATCCACACTTTAAACTTTCTTCTCAAAGCATCTGGCATAATTATCCAATTAAAATCTAGTACATGTAAACCAAAAGCAGTTTTGTGATTGACAGAGAGGCTAGCCAGTCAGCAGTGTTAACAGCCCTGCTCTGAGAAGAGGAAAAATGCGTAGGAATGCTAATAATTTCCAATTTTTTTTTAGCAATGTTTCCTCTGAGTCCAGTTAGTGTGTAAAGACAGTACATGTGTCACAAATGCAGCCACTGTTCATCCGCTGACTTGTATGCCCACAGAAATAACTACGTGGCCTAAACTACATGGTCAATAGCAGGAAACTGAACCTGAAGTTTTTGGATATTTCATCCTCAAAGAGGGTGCATAGGATCCTGCTCTGGATCAGCATGCAAGTAGGGGAGGTTTAATCTTTCCATCCAGATGTTTTCACCCGAAAATTGCTCTCCTACTTCAGAGTGTGAGAGAGAGAGGAACAAAGAAAAAAAATCCCTATCATTTTCACTAGTGGAACATTTTCCATTTTTCTCTAGCCTCTGTGAAGTGTGGCCAATTTAGGTAGGAAAGTAATTGTGTGAGAATGCTTCCACCTTCCTCATCTGTGTGGATCTTCCAAGTTAAAAACTTCAACAACAGCAACAACAATGGTGAGGATCTGCAGCATGCTGTGTATTTAAGATTACATGTAAGCTAACCTTGAAATGATCAGAGGGTTAGGAAGAAAAGCTTCTCAAATCTGGGACTAGTTTGGTTACAAAAAATACAATGGAAATGGTGAATGAAGGCTGTCACTTTCATTGATTGCTTGTGAGTTTTCCAGGATCATCTGGCTAGCCCATGTTCAAGAGAAAATGTTAAATGAAAGGATTCCACTAAGAGCCTTTTTATGTTATCTCCAGACAGTTGATTCCACTCCTTCCGTGAGAAATTTGTTCCATGATCTAATTGTTCTTACTGATAGGACTTGTGTCCTCTTGTGCTGCAAGTTGCTGATAAACACTGTAATTATATTCATAAAATAATTCCTTGTATCTGTCAAAAACAGCCAATTTGATCCTTTTCACAATTAAAACAAGGCTGCAACAGATATGCATTTTCAAAATCTTAATAGTTATAAAATAAAGCATCTCAAACCCAGAGTTGTTTATTTGAATTAGGGATGCAGAAGTTTGCTTTTTATTATGAATATCTTTTGTTTTGAATTTCCAAATCAATATACAAACTAAAACTCAGTTATCCTTAATGTTCCCTGAATTTTGCAACTGAACTTTCCAATCAAAATAATGTATAAGAAGAATTAATGATGGGAAATGCAAACCCAAATATGCCTTTTAGTGAAAAAAAAAAGTTAAGTCATGAATACCCTCTTCCCATCTTATCTCAGACAGGAGGTCAATCTATTGAAACACCTATGAAGACTTGATTCAAGGGGAAGAATTTCTGCACATGGAGGAATGTATGTGAACATAAAACATGCCATTAAACTGTGGATGGATACTACGTAGGGAATGATACATCTGAATGCAAAATATGTCTGTTTTCAGCCAGCAATGCAAGGACTAGATATGTGAGAGCCCTCCAGGCACCTTCCAATTTCAGGTCAGGGCTGCAAGTTTCGGTGCTTTCCCCATGCTAAAAAAATCCTGTACCTGGACAGCAGTTGTTTCGGGAAGATGGCCTAGTCATTTCTCTGAGAAGCAGCTAGGTGAAGGAAGGGGAAACACCAAATTGCTTTGGTAGGTCAGGGCTGGCTGTGAGTAACTACAGCAGTGAGCCTCCATTTCCCATCACTTTGCTTTCAAGAAATACAGTCATGCCAACACCCCTGGCGTTTCTGTGTTTGGTGATACAGTTTTGCCTTATAGTCCTCACAACCTGAAGCTATTCTTCCCACACTGGTTTACGCAGTCCGCCTCTTCCCAATCCATTTCTTTGATTCCACCATTTCCAGTGCGGTATTTCCTCCACTCCAGAGCCATACTCTCCCTTGGTGTCCTCCCACTCAAGCTGCATTGAACTTCCTTCCGCAGTCATCCGCTTTTTGTGTGGGCCCAGCTGGCAAGAGCCACTACAATTCCCAGTCCTTGGCCTAGTCCAGCCCCCTCTCCAAATCCTTCTCCCCTTGTACACATATCTCCACCTTCCTTTCCCTCTTACTCTCTGCACCCCATAGCAGTGCAAGCCCTCCCTTCTTATACCCTTGATCCACAGACCCCACTGTTCCCTGCCATTTCTGGCATGCCCGTCCTGTCACTGACTATCCTGAAGGTTGAACCCACCAAGCTCCTAGTCCTCTACTCTGACTTCAGCATGCTCTTGTTCTCTTCCAACTTCGCTCTAACCCTCTTTTGTGAGGGTTTTTAAAATTATTTGCTGCAAATCTTCACAGAAGTGGCCATTAGAAACATTGGCATGAATACTTCCCTTTATTCTTACCACTGCTTTTCTACCAGGAAAGGATTTCTGACATGAAGGACATGCTTATCAAGTTCAGCTCACAAAAATGATGGTGGTACTGGAAAGATAGCAATCCAGATGTATTAATGCTTCTCTTCTACCTTTAGAAGACCTGGCACATGTTCAATGATGGAAATACACTGTGTTCTAAAGCTTTTATATCTGTGGCAGGCCAAGACAAATTGCTTCCCTTAAATCTGGATTTGAATGTCAATGTTGGTTTTGAAAAGTTCAAGAAATTGCAGATGAATTTATAAGCTGTTGTAGAATAAGGTAATAATCCCCTGAGACACATGCACAAACCCCAACTATTTTTATTAACAGTTGTTTCCAAGGTTGACTTAACAGTGGAAAGCTACCTTTATAGAGCTTGATTGAGATATCTAAAATGCTGTATAAGGAAGCAGCAAAAACCAGTTTTCCCAGTCAATCCAGGCTTGTATTTTTCGCATTTTAATGCTTGCAATTGTTGTAATTATTTTAGTAAAAGGATTACCTAACTGAGTACATGCCATTTCTGTTACAATCCTAAAAGCATATTTATTCATTTGCTTCTGTGTTGCTTCCCTTTCTTAGTAAATGATATGACTACTGCCAAGTTAACTGATACAGAAGTGGAAAATCTGAACAGCATTCTGGGAAGAAACATTAAAACAAACCACAATTTGATAGCAGCAACAGCAGCAGCCACTCCAGTAGTGAGTGAGCGAAAGGAAGGCTATTCTACAACTGAAAGTGAGTTTTTGCATCTTTCTTTCTTACTTCCCTGGTGGACCTTCTTGAGTAGATTGAGAATCCCCAGGGAGGCATGGCAGTGACTCAGCACTTGCTGGCAACCTCCAGTCCCTTTGGGCCATTGCTAGGAGAGAGCTGGAGAGAGCTGGCAGGAGATTAGAATTTGGCCATTGTGCAGAAAGAAGAGGTGTCCTCTGTTGCTCCTTCCCTCCTTTCAGCCTGAAAAGAGGGCACCAGCCATGGTACGAGTGGAAGTAATCATCCTAGCCTGAAGGTCTACTCATCACTCATTCAGGATCTAATTCTGAAAGAAGATACAGAGCTGGCATGTATTATAGAGACCTAGCTGAGGAAAGAGTTTATCAATATACCCCCTGCTAGTATATTCTGTGGTTTATGCCATGGGGAAATGGGTGACAGCAGTCGGTAGGAATGCTGCTGACCACATGGCCCATTCAGCAGTTCGTTAACTCTGAGGGCATGGTGCAGCAGCTGTGTGCTTGGGACAGGCAGCAGTTCTGCTGGTATATCAACAGCCTCCCTGGTAATCTAGCCTGGGTGACTCCCAGGCAGGCGTTGGATCAACCCAGACTTCTTTTTCTGGTGGATTTCAGCATTCGTGTCATGGCTCCGGACTGAAGTCCATACACCTGCCCCAACCAGGATCTAGCCTTGTGGATGCAACAGGGTGCACTCTCAATTTGGCATTTTGTTTTTGTAGGTGGAGGAGTTCTGTGTGATTCCATTGTCAGAGATATATCACTACCTAGTTAGTTTTGGACTGGCTGTTGGCATGGACCTCCACAGGGGTGGAGAGCCAGTTAAAATGGTCTGTCCCAGGTGAGTGATGGACCCAGAAGTGCTTGGGAACTTTCTGCCTTGTTTGTCAGTGGTACTGTTGAAATTCTGCCTTATCTATGGAATATGAAAATGTTCTGGGCTATTGACGCAATTGCTCCTAAGGTTATCACTACTATGACAATTTTTTTGTACAATAAACAATTGCATACAATGGACAGATAGTTAATTTTATCCAGTTGTTTTAATATTATAATACTCTATTGTTTGGGATGTTTATTGTTATTAAGTTTCAATTATTTGCTATCATATTGATAACATTAGCAAATAAGGCAGTATATTACTAGGTTGCTTTTTATCTTACCATTACATTAAAAATTGCAGAAATTAAAGCATAATATTTTAAACACATAAAGATCACTGAGTGTTTTGAACAGAGGTGGAAATTCAGCCCGGCTATGTACAATGTTAAGCTAATCTCAAAATGATTTCAGTATAAGTGATATGTTCAAGATGTGTTCCATCACAGAAGCCTATTTCTGCTTCCACAAGAGACTTTTTTATCAGGTCTGGAAAGAAAAATGGTTAAATGAATAGCTAAGAACAGCACATATCAAGCACCTAGCAAAAACACATGACAGAGACACTAAAATGTTATACTGGAGATTTTCAAAATGCTCCGATTCCACAATAAAGATACATTGGCAATGATTAAAGGAATGGCTTCTCCCATCTGTAGTTCAGTATCTTCCTTGGACACCCTTGTCCAGGCGCCTCACCAGTGGAAATACAAGCCTGGGGGCAGGCAGTGCTACCCAGGAAAGGGCCTTTGGCAGTGGCAGCAATGTTCTGGAGCTCCCAAGAGAAGGTCCTTCCAATCCTCAGCCATGGAATTTTTGGTGGTGTTTGAGCCTCTCTACATTTGAAGGATCCTCTTTCCTGAATGGTGTTTCTTTGGCTATTTTGGCTTGATTTCTGTTGTACAAATGCTTAATCTGAGTAACTGCTGGTGGATTGTTCTGCAGATTATTTTTTCATTTTTATTTTTAGAAGTATTTTGATTCATGACCAATCTCAGAAATCCCTGGCCAAACCAGGAATCTCTGCTTTTACTTCCATGCAGTCACTAACATAAATGAGAAGGATGTGGAAAGAAAGGAATCATCCTCAGGGAATGTCTCATGCCAAAAGAGAGGAAATCATGTATTTTAATCTGATTTTCTTATCTGAGCTTCCTATATGAATGATCTCTTTTCCAACCTGGTTCTTAGTCTGCCGGGTAAGGAACAATGACAAACGTCTGTTGATGTCCTCCTCTACAAAGCATAATGTATATGACACCACAGTAAAGGTGAGCACCTTCCTTGTCATTATGTAATCAAACCCTGCTTCACATCTCACACTCTATGTGTACTCAAGAAAGCACTGCATGTTCACCCAACAAACACATGTCTTCTACTGCTTGCATGTTAAAATGTATCACCTAGGAGGCTGAGATTCCTAACATAGACATGTGTTAAGATATCTTTGCTATTGTGTGATCTGTCAAACAGCTCCCTGTTCACCCACCTGAAGCCTTCTCCTTAATACCTTGCAGGGGATTTTAATGCTGCTGTCAAACTTCAAATGAAGATGCTAGAATATATTTTGCATCTTGTACGTGAGAATGAAATTGTATTTGAATGCAGACTTCAAAAGGGGGGGTATTTAGCATTTTAGGATGGGTTTGTTTTCCAGTAGTGCTTTCCCACTAGCATCAGAACCACCAGGAAAAGCCAAGAAGACTACTTTGGTCCACTACCCAAGTAAGGAGATTCTCTGCCCCTCCCACAGGAGCAAAATATCTGATGCTATCTGTCCTTGTTTGCCACCATCCTCACCAGGATGGTGGGGATCCTCCTCAGTGGTCCTCTGGAACCTTTGAAATACAGCAGTTGCAACTCCCCTTCTTTCCCCAGCAGAGTGAGCAACGCAGCAACCTCTCCCACCCCAGCACAGACAGAAGCCACCAAAAACAACCTTAGGTTTGCTATGTGTTAATTTCTCCTTATTGTCAGCTACCGTCAATGCCTGTTCGGAGAAAGGTGGGCCATAAATATTTCTAAATAAATATTGCAATGATGGTGTTATTGTTGACAATGAAGTATGTCCAATTTGATTTCGCATCAGAGGTGTGGACTTCACATGACTTGTCCTCGAGTGCAAGATTTTTCTTTCATAAATAACTACTATGGTGTTCAAAAGTTGAGGGCCTTTGCTTTCTACCCCTTTCCCTTCATACTAATACAAGGAATGGAAGCCACAGAAGGAAGCAAAAGGTTAATGGCCCCCTCTGCATCCTCCTCCTGCCACATTGCAGTCAAGGTCTAGCTTGGGTCCCTAGTACTGGTTATTTGAGAAGGAAATGTATTGCAGTCAAGCACAAACCTCCATGTGAATGACTTGTCATTTTTATCACCTGCTTTTTGCATTAGCACTTTTGAGAATCCTCTTGGCAAAATATGACACCAAATCCTCATGCATGCTTATATCCCTGTTTGAAGCAAATTAATATCTTGTAGTGCCTCTCAAGCCATTGACTCAACATAATCACTAGTGCCAAACTGAAATTTCTTCATGCTTTTCTTTTAACCATCTGTGAGCAGGTTGGTGGCAAATTGAAACCCTTCCAAAAAGGTTGTAGGAGGGGCAAAGAATGTCTTCCAAAAGCAGTATGGGGAAGGGCCCGTTGCTTCCCCTAACTGTCTGAGGCTGCTGAGGGGAGATTGCCCTTTTAAACCTTAAAGCAAGGCCCCCATGCTTCTTCCAGTGGTGTGGGATGCTCTCAGTTGCTTTTTGCTACCCAGAGATATTAAATGGCTAACCACACATCTCGGAGTGGCTTGGGAGCAATGTGACATCACATTGTGTTGTATTTCTCAGAAGACATTTTAGCAAGTGTGGGAGGCAGGAAGTGGCAGGGAGAGCCTCTCAGCTCTGTGAGTGATGCAGGAACATTGCTTTGAAGTTGAAATAACAGCAAAGAATCCACATACATTTCATTTGGCTGAGGTGAACAGTAATCCCATCAGTATGCAAACAAGAAATCATTGCACCCCATCTTTGTGTGGGTGCAACATCTTCAGGAACATTAAGAAAGGAATTAGGGTTCAACAATCTTGATCAACAATATGCCACTCAGGTATTTGAGCACCATAAACTTGTTGATATAGAGAAAGTAACTGAAACATCTGATGAAAACACAACTTGCCTTTTTAATGTAACAGAATCCTTATCTTTCACTAAAAGATCAGCCAGATGCTATAACATAGAAGTCAAGGAAAAGACTCAATTGATATAATTTGAGTCCTGCAGATAATCTTTGTTCCAGGCTGACTGCTACTGAAGGGGCTGAACCAAAAGCTTGAACCTGACAATACTTTTCCTCATGACCTTATTACCTTCATCTCATTGGTAATTATATTTGTGTGAGAAATACTGAAAATCACCCTTTGGGATAAAGGTCTTGGAAGTTTCATTGATAAACTAGGTGCGGGTCCCAGAGCTGGCATAAAATATCTTGTTTAGGTTGTAAAAATATATTAGCCTGTCATGTTATCTCCATAAATTTCTCTGCCACAGAAGGCAGGTAAGGTCCCCTGGATCCCTAGACTCATTACCACTTCTGCTTACTATTACCATTCATCAGCTGCTTTGTCACACATTGCAGGCTGAATTTGGAAAAGCTGCAATTCTGGAAGGGTAGATATCGAGTGAATTATTAGCTGTGACAGACAAACGTGTTTCCAAGCACTCTCTCTAAGTTCTTCTACACAGCAAAGCAACAATTGTGTAGGTGTTTTCAGTGTGATGCCAAGAGTGTCATGGTGGAACTGGTGGAGTAATCCATTCTTCCACTGTGTGTTAATTATGAACTTCTGAAACTTTCTATAACTTCAGCAAATTTAGATCCCATTTCAAAACCTGCACCGTTTTTTAATGGCAGAGTTTGTTAGTTTTGTTTGGGACAGGGGTGGGGAAGCTTTTCAGCTTAAGGGCCTTATTGTCTCTGTGGAAATCTGTTGGGGTCTGCATACCATCAGTGGGCACAACAGAATCAAGCCTGACGGGAATGCAACTGCCATCTGTTCACTCACACACTTATACCCATTTACTCAGGAAAGATGCGGGACAAGTGGAACCTTTGGTCATTGCCACATTAGAGTCCCCTTAGGCTGTGGCTGCCAGCTTTGCTCACTGCTCACGTTTCTCTTCTCTGGAGACCATCATTTCGAACCTCTTGCAAGCTGCTGCCAGGGTACCCCAGTGGAACCAGCTCCAATCAGCCCTTGGCTTTGACTTCAAGGCTTTGGGCAGAGCTTCAGGAGGGTCAGGATCCACCGAGCTTTAGTGCACTTTGGTGCACAAAACCCCCTGGAGTGGGTTTTGACTGATTATTATTGATTTTAAGCCTGCTCAGAAGTAAGCCAGACAATTTTTCTGCATGTCTTTTCAGAAGTACGAGGAGCTGAATCACCAGCTGCTTCTTCCCCAGTGCCCACCCTACTCCCCCTTGCAGGGAAAAGCTCTTGTCAGTTGCTGCACCATCCATGGCCCACAAGATGGCTGTTCCTAAACTTTGGTGTACATGTCATCCTCGTTATACAGCAGCCATTGTCCTTGTTGGACCTGGGATGTATAGAATCTCAAAGCTAGTCTATAAGCCTTTCATGCTTCCTCCATCAGGATTGGGTTGATGTTTTCAGAAACAAATAAGAACTAAAATAGCCAGGGGATTCAGCTTCAGAATTCCAGTAATAATAGGATTTATCCAAGTCACAAATGCTGAGGAAAGCACAAGAAATCTTTCACTACTAAGTTTCAGAAGTTAAGATCACCGTTCAATAGCAAATGGCATGACTCCTTAAGTAACAGGTGTTTATCCAGACCAAGTCATACTTAGAATACTTTCATTGGAATGAATGGGGTAGGTTAGTTAATCAGAGGAGCATAGCAAAGCTTTGATACAACTCTGCTTTATCCTGTGTATCCTCAGTGTCTCACGTCTCTCTATATTTATGCATTTTGTAGAAATGTCTATTTTGTATTCAAACTCTTGGCTTTGTTTTGAAAGCAAACCATAGAGAATAGTAATATGTTGGCTTAGAAAAGGAGAATGGTTCATTGTTACCACTTTTTTTCCCAAGGAAAAATGTAACATCCAACATGTCCCCCAGTTGCTCAACATCATTTAATGTATACAGGATTCAATATATGTATGATTCCAGCAGTCAATATTCAGGCAAGGTCACTGGGGATTCAACCACCCCTCTAACTTCAGAAATTTCAACAGGAATTGCCCAGACATCTCATTTTGACAGCTGTAAAAGATAGACATGCATTTATGTATGACAAGAAGCCCAGGAAACTAAGATTCTCAGTACGCTGAAACAGGTAGGTTTAGTCCTAAGAAGCATGAGTAGAAGACTGTTTCAGAGATGCAGAACCTCAAATGCAGCCTGCTGGGGGGAGCAATCTAATGCTCTGGCATTCCCAAAACAATTGCATCCCATTTTGTGGCCCTGCCCCATTCCCTTAACCATCAGGTGGTTTCCTGCCTTCTGAAACTTTGAAATGCCTGCTCTAAGGCTTACTTACTGGCAGTAAGAGCTTTAAGCTAAATTGTGCTGGTCTTTTGGACTCCACTCATTACTTTTGGCTCTGTCTCTTTTGCCTGAATCCCCATCCAACACTGGCATATTCCCACCAAATTTTGGAAAGTGGTTCTGAACCTCTGCTTCATCCATGAGTGTTCTTCTGCAAAGTATTGCTTGAAGGCTAGCCAAAGTCATTCCATAACCAAGTGCCTGGGGCTATATTACTCTGTAAGAAGGGATTATGCATTTTCATATCTGGGGTTCACCCAGCTTCTCCTGGTAAAGAAAGCCCTGCTGGTTGGACCACAAGCCATTTCCCATTGAAAAGCAGGACGTATTGGATAGACCGCAAATAATCACCACTCCAAAGGAGGGCTTGCTTTGAACGAGGGGTTTGGGAATTAGCAGCGGCTCTGCTTGCAAGCAGTAAGATAGCTTTGTAATAGGAAACGACATACAGCCGAGCCATTAGGGCTTGCTCTGAGCATGTGTAAGGTATTTAAGCTATAAACTGAATCATAAATAAATAAGATATGGAATCCAGAGGCGGAAAATAGCAAATGGTCTTGTGCAAATGGGAAGAACATGTGCAAATGAAAGAACTTCTCTGGATTTCAGTTTGTTTCTCTTGTGCAAAGTTCTTCTGCTGAGTGGGTAATAGCCCTGACATGATTAGAAGGACTTTTCTGCCTATGGCTGGGCTCCTCTGGCTCCAAACTACTCTGTGCTTTTTCTGAGCTCCTGCATGACTGCATTGATAGCATCTGTGCAGAACCATCATGTACCAACATGATCTCAGCCAAAAGGGAATTTTTTTACAGTACTCTGGAGGAAGTACTTTTGGTCAAGGGCTGGCAGTGAGAAGAGGACAGGAATTCGTATACATGAAGGGCCTGTTCAGGTGAAAGTAACTGTTCATGTGAACACAGCCTTGCTAAAGCCAGATGGAGGCTTAGCAGATGACATATTACAGGGTAAGGAGAAAAAGTGATCTGTAAATACTCTTTCAGTATCTGTGTTTCTGGCAACATGATAACTTTAATTGTGGTTCATTTATATCACAGATCTCTGATGAATTAACTGGACCAACAGTGAAAACTGTGGATCTGTAAAGTTGTAGACTGAGAAAGACAAATTCTGATGAGTTGGGCACTAATGTAAACCCAGTGTTTTATAATCAGTGGGAGGGAACAAATTTCCCTTCCTCTCACTCCTTCCCTCCCCATTGGATTATGTCAAAGATTAGCTGTTATTTAAGGAACATTGTACAAAGTTTTCCAAAGGATTTTCCTTGTAAATGATTACCACATGTTTGCTCTATTTAAACAGCTTACAGGCTGGATATATAAGATTGATTGATGGCATTGGTTCAAGTTGTTTTGTGACTCACTGATTCTTTAGGAAGAATTTATTCATGTTATTTATTGAAGGGCTAGCAAAATACAACCCATTGATTATAATTTCAAGTTTCTGGTAGAAACAATTGCAGAACAGATCCATAAAACCAGTCTAGTACATGCATGGGGTAGCTATTTCTATTGTACAGTGTCCATAAAACTATCCAGTGCTTCCTTCCTAAAATGCATCACTTTAGTTTGTGTTCCTAAGAAAAGCAACTAATCCATCCCTACATGGACTACTAAATGAAACTGAAATTGAATTGTGCTAGGTTACTTTTTCTATTAAGGTTTAATATAGCAAGAGAAAGATGGGTAAGAATGGCCAGAATGTTACGCTCCCCTTTATACTTAAAAGAGTGATGCATCTCTCTGTTACGTTCTCCCATCCTTCAGTGGCAAGTGGATTCCCCTCAAACACAAGGAGGGGCATACAGCAGGTGGAATCTATCACACAGGAAAATTAACCTGACAATTTTTAGGCAGCAATGTATTAGAGGAAAATCTGTACTAAAGCATGAATTGTATTAGTACAGAATTTTCTGCTTAGGATCTTTCTGCTTTCATAAAGAAAAAAGCAATATAAGAACACAGGAAGCTGCAAACCAGAGAAGCAACCAACTAAATCTTTGATTTGATGATCATGGTAATATATTTTTTTATTGTATTGGTTAAGAAATGACTTGAGGGTAATCAGTAGCAATCTTGGAAGGAACTAGGAGGAAGGAACAGTGAATTTTAAAATAGATGGAGTATATATTTAGTCAGAATCCTGGATCTGAAGGTTTTCACCTACAGGCATGGAAGGAGCTTCCATCTTCTGTTGGAGAAAGCTTCTTCCATCACATAAAGGGAACCAGTGTGTACTAATCTTATAGACCATTCGATTTTGGCACTAATGAACCTCTGCTGTTCACTGTGTAGTGCAAACTGAGCCCTAACAAGTCTTGTGCTATTGTTGAACCCTGATGACTATAACCTACCTTGATGACCTAGAATGAGACCTTTGGTATTTGACAAAATCTTTTGTTTTGTGCAAAGAAAAGTCATAAGAGCAGAACTGTGCAAAACAACTTGCTAAGAAAGAAAAGGGAAGGTGAGCATTGTAAACACTTCAGGATGTATAGCAGATGAATCAAAATTGGTAGTGGAGCTGATTATTTTGGATGGTTTGTTTTTACATCTCATTTAGCATTTAGTGGATGTGGAAATATGGAGATGCCAATATGGTAGGTCTCTGAAATAAGGTAATAAAATTATTTCCAGCAATTTAGGTATGGAAATACATAAAGGGAAGCACTATTGGTACAGATTTGTAAGCAGTAAAGTTGCTCTGCACTACACTATTATAAGAAACTCTAGCGTAATAATTCTAACATTTTATGATTTCATTCTGGAAAAATGTGGTTATAAGAACAACTTCTGGCACAGAAGAAACATTGGCTTTGTGTAGCTTCTAAAGAGAATAGGGTATGAGATGAATACCCCATAGAATACATTCCAGAAGTCAAACTAGTAAAAGAACAACAACCGTACAATCACTAAAATAATAATTCAAAATAAAACCTTTATGAATGATATTGAAGGGAAATATGTTTTATAATAAAAATCCATATGTTTTAGGACTTCTTAATTTTAATGCATTGCTAGATTCCTACACCTGGTTTGGTGCACCAGAATTACAACAGTCCAAATACAGCATATTAAGGCAACAGACCTTGCTCTTAGTTTGCTAGATGATACATAGAGCATAGTCAGTCATATATCTAGGAGAAGATGTAGTTTCAAAAATCTAGTTCATTTCATTTTATACTCCATTTTATACTCTAGTCCAAAGGTACCATCTCTAAGAGATTTTCTCTTCAGGTTATAAGAAATGATTAACAGATCCTAAAAGTGTTTTCCTCAACATGCTTCATCCCTTTCTGTTTTTCTAACAGACTCCTAAGTTTTTAAAATCACAAGCAACAGGTTTCTTACAGTTTCTCCTGCCCTCTATCTTCTAGCTGTAGGTGGTAGGAATGGAACACCAACCTAAACCAGTTATTTCTTTCTAAGATCCATGATACTTGTTAACAATATTTACTTATTTAATTGTTAACAATATTCACTTATTTATCTGGCCAGGGTGACTTCTTTTCTTTTCTTTTATAACTTTTCTTTTATAACTTCTTTTATATCGTTTATATTTTTTATTTATTTTATATTATTAATTTTAATTTTATATTGTTATTTTTATATTGTATTGTATTTTATTGTGTTGTAAGCCGCCCCGAGGCTTCGGCAAGGGGTGGCATAGAAATGTTCTTATAATAATAATAATAATAATAATAATAATAATAATTTTATATATATATTGCGATTTATATCCTGCCTTTTTCCTAGAAAGGGCTCAAGGCAGCTTACATCATCTCTCCTCCTCCATCTTATCCCCACAACAACAACCCTGTGAGGTAGGTTGGGCTGAGAGTCTGTGACTGGCCCAAAGTCACGCAGCTGGCTCCATGGCTGAGCGGGGACTAGAACCCGGATCCTCTGAGTCCCAGGCTCTTCACCACTACACCACACTGGCTCTCCACACCATACTTGCAGAGAGACATTCACTATGAAGTGTTCATTACTACACATGAAAACACCCCTGGCACTGGGAGTTGGTGGAGGTCCAAATTAATTTGGGCTCACTGAATTTATAGCATTCGTCTTTAGGTTTTCTCTTTAACTGAAAAAGATTGAATAAAACTTGACATTACTTGAAATCTCTGTCTAGCAGCAACATCTTTTTACTAGCCCCTTAAATTTTAGGGCCCCAGTTTGAATCTTAGAAAGCCTCCCTACCCACACACACATTCGTGCTGCGATCCAAATCAGTTTCCCTGAACCTACTGTAACAGAGTGTCTAGACACAAATTTAAAGTACTGTCTATTTTGCCTCTTCACCATATACAAATGGTGTATACTGAGGAACATATAATATTGGGGAGCAATTTGATCTCCGCAGCATGTAAGTTCAGGGATCTTTTGTAATTGCAAATGAACTAAAACCCATTCCCTCTTAAAGAACTGAAGTGTACCACAAATATTGCAAGCACCTTCCAATAAAGATGTAGCTTGCTTCGTTTATTGAGGAACAGTTAAGGACAGAGGAAATGAATGAGTATGAAGTAAAGTTGGGATATTAAAGAGAAACCTACATGACAACAGCCAAATACCCTGAAGGGAGGAGGTTTAATAAAATAAATAGAAAAAGCAACAGGATGCTTTCTTTATGGCATTATTACTAAAGGGCAATAAAAGAACCCAAACATAATACAAACAAAGCAAACTCAATTGTTAATCAGTTGAGCTGATGTCCTGCTGTCAAATGCAAATAAACGGGTGAACATAGATGAGGCCCATCATAAACAAAGCCAGTTGCTGTCTATCGCATTGGAGACCATGCCTAGAAGGAAGCAATCAGTGTAAAATTAAACCAATTTCATACAGGCAGATGGCATGCCATTAGCCCTAATACTTGATATTCTGTGTGGGCTTCTGTGCTAGCAGACTTTCGGTTTGGGTAGAATATTCTGATTGCTTTCTTTGCAATAGGACTTCTATGTATTACTTCAACTGCAAATATTCTACATACCTTACTGTTTGCGTACAGAGTTGAGTCTGAGAAGCTAAACTATGGTCCCAAGGCAGTCTGCCATCCAGGACCAGACCTGCTTGGCTTTAACAATAGAACTTATATTCCATTTTATAATAATTATGCAGCATGTTTACTCCTGTGTGTGCTCACATGGCCCCAATTCAGATCAGGACCATGTTGTTTGGGGAGTTTCAATAACCCCTACTGTGTTTTCCTAGTATTCACAATCCCTCACACTCCATGTTTTTTTTTAAACACCATTATCAAGTTTTTGAGTACCTGATGCATCTGCCTGCAGCCTCTAGTGTAGTCTTATCTCTGAAAAGAAAAACAAAAGGCAAAGTATGGGACTTAGCAACAAGAATAACTTCCTTGCATACTCCTTGCTTATGACCCTAAAAGACTGTACTCTTGTTGGATTTTACTCAAACTAAATTAATTTTCCTGGTGTTATAGCTGTATGCCTAATTATAGATTTTTAGGTTTCCTACCTCCAGAACTAGAAAGATGTTCTTTCAGAAGCTGCAGGACACTGAAAGAGTATTCAGAAATTCTGATGCTTGTCCATGATCAGCAGAATCCCATTCTCCTATCTTTCTTCCCCTGTAAGCTTTCTTGCCATGGTCTATGCCTTCTGTTCTGCGGAGAAATGCTTTTATCTCTGATCAGCAACTTTTCTCCCTTGAGTGCTGATAAAAGGAGGCTTTTTCACTGTTTGCCAAAGAAAAGCTCTTCTCTCTCAACCTTTGCTGATAGCTTTTCCCTACTAGGAGAGATGGAACCTAGGGAAGAATCTTGCAGTCTGGCAAAGGAACTTTCATAAGCCATATCTATGGGCCAGATAATCCACAGACCTCTCTTAAAGCAAGTAGAATTTTAGTTTTGCTTTAGACAATAAAGGAGGGCATAAGACGGTCTGTTCTAAGATCAGGGCAGAAGTCACCATTCTTTGTTGGCCTGGAGTTGTTAATACAATAGGGTTGTCTATAGTTAAGTGGCTACCTACTGCCTGGAGATACAACCTGATGATACCTACAGTTAAACTCAAGAGTTGCTCTTTTGATAAAAAACATGTAAGTCAGGGGTCTCAAACTCGTGGCCTGCAGGCCAATTGCCGGGACGGGTGGGGCATGGGGGAGGGGCCCTGCGGCCTTCAAAGCGCCAGTGGCGCCCGGGCCGGCCTCCGGGAGCGACGTGGGATGAGCAGCCCACCACCACCGTGGTGGTGGAATACTTGATGCGCCCAGCCTCACCCAGACTCTACTTCCAGTGGCCCCCAGGTAAGTTGAGTTTGAGACCCCTGATGCAAGTCATAGCATATGTATAAATGCCAGAAAGCAAACAGCACACAATCATAGTTATGTTTTTGTCAAATTTAATGCATTTACATACTTATTCATATATTTATTATTATATCCATATTCCACAAGATTTCTTACCTGATCCTTCTCTTCTCCATTGTGTCTTTATAACAACTTGTGAGATGGATTAGGCTAAGAGTCAGTAATGGATCCAAAGCCAATTAATGAGCTTCATGGTTGAATGGGGACTAGAACTCAGATCTTCTGACTCCCAGTCCAAGAATCTTAACTACTACACCACACTGGCTTTAATCAAGATCATGGTGATGACTCAAGGAAAAAATCAATATGGCTATTACTTTTTATGTTACCAACACAATAGTATTAAATCGACACAAATATAATTGTAGATGCTGCTGTTGCTTTCAATATATATATATTCTAGGACAGGAAACAATTTGGCTAGAAGAAATGCTAAAAGCTACTACACTTTGAATTCTTGCTTTCCTTTTTCTGTTTATGAAAGCTTTGCCAAATTGATTCCACTGATACATCAGTTGGCTTATGGTGTGATAAAAAATTGTAATTCAGGCATGTAATAATTGGTATTTTCACAAGCATAACTGGATTTGGCAGGGGGCATGTTGGCCTTTGGGGAGTTTAAATGGAGTTTATATAATTTCCACTTCTCCCAGTTTTGAAAATGCTGACAGCTATGCATTTGAGTAATCAAAATGTGTGGTTTTGCTAAACAAAGTATCACTAAAATTGGCCAGGAGATCCAGAACCATTGATAAATGCACAGAATACTGGAGAAGGAAATGTGAGTTCCCAGAAATACTTGAATTCTTCTCTGTAAAAGAACTGCACACTGAAGGCCTATTCTGACCAATCAAATGCCATCAAATCTGATTCTGATTGGCTGAATTGGAGTCATGGCTCAGTATGTTTGGTTACTCCGGAAATTAACAGTTTACAGTCCAGGGAAAGTTCTGCAATGGAAGGGAAAGTTGTCAATTTGGCTAGAATTTATATGCAGGGATACTGTACATGGCTGACAACAACTCTTCTTTCTTTTAGGCGCCAGATGAAAACTTTTTTATTTAAACAAATATTTGGTTAATTTAACAATTTAATTGAATTTAATACTTTTATATTTTGTTATTGTTTACTTATTTTAATTTAATCATTGGTTAATTTATTGGTTATATTTATTATGGAGTGTGTGGCTATATTTTATTATGAAATGTTTATCATTGTATTGTTTTATCTATTTTATCTGTTTATTAATTGTTTTTATTGTATTCTATGTATTCTATGCAGTTTTAGCATTTGCAAGCTGCCCAGAGAATCTTCAGGTTACGGGGTAACATAGAAATGGAAATAAATAAATAAATAAATAAATCTTTATATTTCTTATTTCTATTTTGTAGCCCATCTATGGATACAACAAAACAAAACAAAATCTTACACCACCAAAACCCCATTTCACATCAGAATCCAAATCATCAGTTCTGTAGACATCTTTGATGTAGGGGAGATGAAACACAACACCATATTCTTCCTCCACTTCCAGGGTTGTCAATTTGGCTGGAATTAAAATCTTACATAGGGCAGAAAATGTAATGGATAGGGATCCCAGAGGCAAGGAAGAAACATTTTGCAAAGGACATAGATTGAAAAAGAGGTACCTGAATGAAAGGAAAAGTTAAAGAACATTTCATAGGACCTGTTTGAAAGCTGTGAACAATCCATGCATGGATGCTGGCATAGAATTGGACCCTCCGTGTCTGTCAGGTGCCCCCTTGGGCCTAGAGTCCCTCAAACCCTTTTATCTGCCAATTTCCTTTGTATCAATGGTATTACATCCAGCTAAGCTCAGTTTTCTAGTTTTGCCCACATTCTAAGACCTTTATTAATGTGCAGTGGGAAAGAATAATTAAGCCTGCCTTATCCACCCCCACCATCCACACATGGGCCCAAGGAGAACAAAAAGATTCCTCAGCTCCAATCTATGAAGGAAAATGATGACAATAATGGCAACAAAATGAACTGATAAGGGGAAGAACAATTAAGTCGTATTGCTTAGCTTGATTGAGAAATGTTAAGTGATTCATAATAATGTGAATTTGTCAACCAAACAATGGAAAGACAGAGAATCCAGAACCTACTAAATCTGAGTTGTCATAAAGACAGAGAAAAAAAGAGTTACTCTTGGAGATGTGTGATTGGGATATATAGAAAAAGCAACCAGTAAAAGTGATGGACATTTTACCAACTGATGCTTAATTTGGTTTGTGTTTAAATTGATCTATTAAAAAATGTAAAATCTATGCTTTGGCTACATTCTTGTGTTAACCAGGCCAGATGTCTGGTCTGACAAATGTCTGCTTTCTCCTACATTCACATTTTTAAAATATCAAATTCCTTCCATGCCAAATATGAAGAAGTTGGTGAATGTTGATGCATTTTGATAAAAAACAAACTAGAATGAAATCCCTGCTTGTCCACAATGGATGAATTCAGTAGCTATGGGCATTTCCACCAAGGAGAGACCCATAATATCTCAGTTTGTTGGCCCTCATCCAGCCCATTACCTTGGCCAGTCACATCGCCACTAAGCCTCAGGACAACTTACAACAATAAATACTCATAAAATACAACTAAAATATTCAATAATAAACATTAAAACATTCAACCGTAACAATTAATCCAGATTAAAAGAAGAAAAGAAGGGAAAGAAGAAGAAAGAAAATGCGACCGTAAAATATTGTTATTATCTTATTAAAAATATTAATTTAATTATTGAAATGATGGGTAAATAAAAAGGTCTTTACCTGGCGCCGAAAAGAGTAGTGAGTCAGTGCCAGGTGGACCTCTCTGGGGAAGCATACTCCATAATCTGGGCGCCACCGCAGAGAAGGCCCTCCTCTGAGTAGTTACCCTCAGTACCTCCTTCAGTTGTCCTCAGGCTGGTGGTGGTGAGCAGTCCCCTGCCATGAAAAAGAAGTGGCATCCCTAATTAAGCAATGTCACATTTGGATACATGGTTAGATTCAAATCCAAGCTTTTAAGGCACACGTTTGCAGACTCTCGGAGCTGCAAGACTCTTTCAGGTTCTCCTACCTTGCAATTCTAAAAATCTCTCTGTTTGAAATATGAAGAAATGTGTGAATTTTGGAAAAGTTTTACAAAATAAAATTCACATCCATCCCTAGTTTTGTGATCCATTTTGGGGTTGGATAGGAGCTATTTCCGAATGATCACACTGAGATAAGAGCAAGAGTGTTGAAGAGTGCCATTCTGTCTCCAGCAACTCCAACATTTGTTCCGGTTGAGCATCAAATGATAGTGATTGTATGATACTAACTGCCCAACAAGGCTTGCAAAACTTCAGGTTGGTCAAAACTTAGGGTTCATGCACTGAAGTCAGAGAGACTTTCAACTCCATGTCTAACTAAATGTGGATCTAAGCCATTTTGTCAAAGAAAAAGAGCAGAATATAAACTGAAGTGAAACCTTTAGAGTGAAGGCATTTTATTATTTATTTATATGTCTCTCTTAAATTTTATAACCCACAACCGATACAACGATACAAACAAAACCAAACTACATGGTCAAAACACCAGTTCACATCAGAATTCAAAACACCAGTTCTATAGACAGCTTTGATGCAGGAATGATAAAACACAGTGTGGTATCTGTCGTCCACTTCCAAAGACCTAGATAACGAGGTTTATCTTGACTTGCTGATTTAATGTATACAAAAAAAGTGCACCAGGAGGGAGAGGAATTCCACCATTTTAGGGCTACCATGGAAAAGCCCTTTTTATTCCCTTCCACCCCGTGAATTAGTGAGGGCAGTGGTATTGATAAGAGGGTCTTCCTGCTAATCTTAGCACCCAAGCTGGCCTAAGAGGTACTCTTTTGGACTTGTAGGACTAAGGTTATAATGGGCTTGATATTGCAAGATAAACATCTTGAATTGGGCCCAGAATTGGCAACCTGTATGGATCCTTAAGGACGAGGGTGATAACAAATGCCATGTTTTGCACCAGAAAGCTTACAGTACTCAGTTTTGCTATGTTGGTCAGTTTTGAGAATTTTTTGTGGAATAATAGTAGATAACAATTGTAAACAATCACATGCAAAATATCATATCTTTGGTTCCCCCCTCTTGCTTTTCTATCCTGCATTAAGAACATTCACACGTAGCACAAATAGCAAGCAAAAGCCTTGCTTGAGCAAAGATAATCAAGAGTCTGTTACAGTCCAGACATATTAAAAATGTAGCAATTTATTGTGGCCAAAGGTATGCCATTACAGTGTTTTTGTGGCTAGTGCATTGCTTTCAAGCCAAAGCTATTAAATATAACAAAGGCCTATTGTGTTCAATGTGTGAAAGCAAATAATTTTTAAAAATGTGATTAATTGTTCAATTGTGGACCTTTTAAGTACATGTGGCAACCACTTTGCCATGGGAACGGCACTAATGGCTCTCCCAGCATGTGTCTGATGGGGTAAACAAAAACTTAAAACGCACCCCATAGTCTCTCTGGCGTTCATTAACATAGTTCAGAAAGCGGGAACTAACCACATTTTATATAAAAAGGCTTAGAAATCTGTGTCTACTTATGTTAATGTTATGCAGTTGGAGGGTGTCAAGTATGCACACAGCATATTTTATTTATAGGCCTATAGTAGTCAAAAACATTGTATTGCAGAAATGTGTATTGCAGAAATGTGGTACTCATTAATTCATATTTTTCTCAGGTTCTTCCGCGTTGGTTTTTGAATCCACCAAAGTGTTTTTTTATGCTGAAGGTAATTTAACATGAGGCATAATTCCTATATCTATCTTTTTAATATAAGTAGCAAATTTCACTGGAAATTTGAATGTTTTCTTTACCATTTATTAGATCAAATCCAAAAGAAACCTTAAAAATATGAAAACCAAGTCCATATATCAGTAATGTTGGGGGATGGAAACATACCAGATCTGCTATATGAAAGCATATATTAAAACGGCCCCTTTCTCAAAACAAGTGTTTATTTTATTCACAGAAAAGTAGTCACTATTTAATTTTCATGAAACTACAACCAAAGATGTGTCAGGATGAATTCCCATGAACCACTGTGAATCCAGTTTAAAGGATATATTCTTAGCAAATTGCAGCATGCCCCCTGCTTAACTGTGGTAACTGCTCCACAAATGGAAACACCTGTATTATAATAGAAGGAAATATGGTTGTGAGTTCTTGTGAATTGTAAGGAAGACCAGAGAGAAAAATGGAGCAAAACTTGTATAGCACTATAATATGAATAAAAGCAAACTACCACTAAACAAGCAAAGAACACATAATAGAAACAACCTAAAGATTACCGATGCGTACACCGTGGATGCTAGGCTATCTACATCTAGATAGCATCAAAACTGGGTTTCCAGCTGAAGTTGGTAGAAGGTACTTGGTGCCTCCTTTATCTCTGATGACACAGATGGATCCATGAGTACCCTCAAGTTGTGTGCCTTTATTGGCAGTGTGACTTCTTGGAGATACTGAGGTTCATATCTGGGACTTTTTGCATCAAAAATAGATCCTTGGCCATTGAGCTAAATCTCCTTCCTATCAAAATTTGGCCTGAACTACAACTGCAATGGATCCAGCAAATCAGTTTCATCCAAGAATACCTAGATCTGGTCATGCCCACTTGCTCAAGGACCTTGGGTAGGAAAGAAGAAAATAATTGTTCAGATATTCCAGATGTGTTGTTCCATCCTTGGTTCTGCTTATTAGTCTCTATAGTGTAACAGATTATTGGAAGTAATGGATAGAATGTTGAGAAATTGACCATCTCATATGCAACCCATTCCCTACTCTGATGCCTTCCATTTCTGTGTCAAGCAATAGACTGACCTGATGGTAGAACTATGAGTTTCCTGTTAACTATTCTTGGTGAAACTAAACACATAACTCTTCTAGAGGGACATCTTGGGATGGTTCAGGATCATGGATTCCAGGGTTGCTGGGTAGCTGAGGAAGGTCCAAAGCCATGCTGTTATCACTACTTTACATTTATTCCCCACTGTTCTTCCTTTTGCAAGAAACATAAGGCAGCTAGGTTTTTAGAAATATATACTGAATTTTTTTACAAACTTGAAAATATTTTTTGCAATGTTACCTATACATAACAATTAAAGCACTTACCTTTGCTTAAAGGAAAAGGAATGTCTAAAGTACTAGGTATGCATACCAAGTACGTAGGATTGCTTAATTGATTTAAACAATGCCCACACACTGGGCAGACCAGAATATAGCTTCTTATGAGGGATAAATGCATATCTTCCAAGATGTGAGAGTGGTGATAGAACTGGAGCACTGACAAAACAGAAGACCTTCCATTACTGGCATATATGAAGTAGCTCGGCCACATCTGAATCTCTAAGAAAGAGGATGAATGATGACACCAATGCATGTACAATTGACATATATTAATTTACAGACCTAGACAGAAATTGGGACATTATTATTATTTGAACAGAAATAAAGTACATTTCACCATATTGTGGAAGACTGTCACTAGGTGAATTGCATGCTTTGCTGAGTCCACTGTCCTTGTGTTGTTGATGGTCCAACTACAAGGTACAGCGCTCCTTTCTGTAGGTTCTTTAACTCTAAATTGGACTGGAGAGCCCTTCAACTAGGAGATGCCTTGAAAATTCAGCATTGTTCTTGGTAAAAGAGGACACACACCTTATGAGTTGAGTTCCTTTCACTTGAGTCCGGCCAGCCCTTGAAGAGGCAGACTGAACAGGCCTTTGGCTCTTGTATTTGCTTCCTCATGCAGTCACTCTGGCCACCACACAATACACCCACTGAGGGATTTGGCCTTGTCAAAGTTGCTAAGTTTCATTCTGAGGCATAAAACGTAAGAACAATCTGCAAGGAAACTTTCCAATTAATCTCAGATCCTGGATCCTGTTTTATGTATTCTTCTTTAATATAATATTTTGGAAATGCTGGGTTGTTTCTGTCATGTAGACTGCCAACTTTTTTTAAAAAAGGTATTTTCTCTCTCTCTAGATTGCCACCCAAGGATGCCAAAGCTTGGTCTTGTTGGGTTTCCAATTGTTTACGGTCTCCCACTGTGCTCCCAATGCATTCAGATTGTCCTCCAAACACATAAATTTGCCTTCAAAGGCAGCTTGGGAGGCAGAAGTGTGGCTAGGGAATTTTAAATGGAGGTGACATGCAATGTCTACAAAGAAGGGCATTTTTTTAGTAGTAGGTGTTGCAGTTTGTTTCAATTACAGCACACACTTGAGTGTGAAATGTTCATGCCAATCTAATAAAAGAAAAAAAAAAAAGCAGGCAATGCTGAAATTAACACCTTTGTAATTGCAGGCATGTTTCTTTCCAGCAATGAAAAAAGCACAGTTAAAACTGGGTGTGAGCCATGGCTGTGGAATTTTCCCCAAAGAAAGCTGCATTTCTCTCCACCCAACTTAATGGAAGGTATCTTCAATACATCCGCGACTAAGCAACAATATCTAAAAATTAGGTATACCCTTAAAGAGATAAAATCAAAACCAAAAACTTGAATTATTCATGCAATGAATAGCTTCTTGCAATTAAAAGCTTAGAATGATCTTCATAGTCTTCCCATTTTTCCTCTTGTACTATTAGCATTCCAAAGCTGTACAAATGGAAATGTCATAATTTACATCTGTTTTTACAAACAGCAAGAGACCATCAAGAAATGATGGTTTCACAGATGCGTCAAGTGCACAGCCTTGGATTCACAGCAAAATAAACTTTGGGAGAGCAGAACCTACAGCAGATGCAATCAGAGGAATGCCATTGTTTGCTCTTTTTCCACAGAGGCTTTCTGACACGTGGCAATTCAGTTTTTGCAAGCAAATCTCTTACCACAGCACCATGTCATCTTTATTTTTCTGAAGGTAAAGGGATAGGATAATGCCAAGGCTGATAAT